TAAAATACAAATGCCGTTTGCACTATGAAAGAATGTGGCCACCACAACCACGTAAATGACCAAATACAACTGTGCTTCCTTCCATCTCTGTCTCCAGGTCTGATCAGGTCCCAGGCACACAGGGAGCTGAGGCAGCTTAGCAGTGTTGTGACTTCTGGGGGTAACTCTGAGAAATGTTTGACTTCTGGCCTTTTCTGCACTAAACCCTTCAAGAGGTTAGGACTTGAGGAAAACATGTCACTTATAAGTGTAAAATATGTTATTTGTAAATAAATAAAACAAAGGACTTTATAATGTTTTATAAACTGTAAAGCATAAACCAAAGGCAAGATTTTATTTTCCCTCAGAAACCACTTCAAGTTGTATTTTGTGCTCAGATTAAAATTTAACATTTAAGGTAACTGATCTAGGAAAAACAAAACGAAACAAGGGAGTTAGAGGGCCATCGGTGAAACGATTCTAAGAAGCTATAATATTATGTCATCAGCAGCAACTATGTGTACCTCTGTAGGAGGAGACTCAGAGTTCTGTGGGCCCAGGATGAATCCCACAGAATGAGCTCTGTGACTCTGACCTCCAGTGCCACTCCTTCTCATGCCTAAATCGACAATAGAAGCTTGCTTTCTGTCTGTAACTACTCAGCTATTTTGATCAAGCTTCTTCTACTCGGTCCAGAATCCTAGAGTGTCCCCAATCTGATTGGACCCCCGGGACAATAGTTTAAAGAATTCTGAGACTAAACAGTAGCCACTGCAACACTACCCACCAGGGCTATTTTCAGACCCTTGCTATTCTGAGTGTGCGCTGCAGATTAGCAGTACCTGCATGACCTAGAATTTGTTAGAAAGGCAAATTCTCAACACTCCTACCACCTACCTCCCTACTGAATTGCAATATGCATATTAGTGAAATCCCCAGGTGATTTTATGCACATTAAGGTATGTGAGAAGCCCTGGTCTAGACTAGTGGTTCTTCAACATTCCTTTTTTTTTTTTTTTTTTTGAGACAGAGTCAGAGTCTAGCTTTGTCGCCCAGGCTGGAGTGCTATGGCGCAATCTTGGCTTACTGCAACTTCTGTCTTCCAGGTTCAAGTGATTCTCCTGCCTCAGCCTCCTGAGTAGCCGGGATTACAGGCGCCCCCCACCACACTCGTCAAATTTTTGTATTTTTAGTAGAGATGGGATTTCACAATGTTGGTCAGGCTGGTCTCGAACTCTTGACCTCAAGTGATCCACCCACCTTGGCCTTTCAAAGTGCTGGGATTACAAGTGTGAGCCACCGCACCCTGTGGTTCTTCAACTTTTGGGTACATCAGAATCATCTGGAGGATGCTGGGCTGCAGGACCTGATCCAGGGACTACAGTCTGAGAACCGCTGCTCTAATGTCTAGAGCTGGATGGTGACACAGAGATTGAGTCCTTTCCCATTACTGAGTAACAGTGATGGAGAATTCCTGCATCTTCCAACTCAGCCCAAGATGAGAAATCCAGGAAAGCTAACACTCCACAGTGAGTGGCACCACGACCTCTTTCTGGGTTGTTTTAACATTGCCTCCCACTTAAGCAAAGCCACGGACAATAGGTTCTAAGGCCTTTGTACCAAAGCCAGAATAAATTTATGGCAGAGGCTCTGTCTCAGAATGTGTTTTCCCACTTTTGAGACAAATGGAGCCTGAAGTGCTGCAGATGAGAGCTACGGTACTGGGAGGTCCCTATCTGAGAACAGGCTGGAACAGGTTGGTTACCCTGTACTGCTCCTTTTGTGGAGTGTTCTTTATCAAGGTCCTTAGAGTCCAAGGCTTTTGTGCTTGAGTCCTCCTTGTGAGTGTTCCGAGTTCTTAAGTCCACTTGTGCCCAGCACAGCACAGCAGCCATGCACTGTGGTACAGACTTGAAATGCAGAACACCCTGAGTGCCAAGCACAGCTCCCAGACTGCTAACTCACAACCCATACACTGTTAGATCCTACTGCCTTTGTGCTGCAAAGATACACCTACGTGCACAGAGAAGACATCCCATGGAAGCAAAATTACTCTCAAATCAAAAAATTTGCTAAAGAAGGATACAACAGCCATTCTAAGAAGTAGAGATGAGGCCAGGCGTGATGGCTCATGCCTGTAATCCTAGCACTTTGGGAGGCCGAGGCAGGTGGATCACCTGAGATCAGGAGTTCAAGACCAGCCTGGCCAACGTAGTAAAACCCTATCTCTATAAAAAATACAAAAATTAGCTGGGCGTGGTGGCAGGCACCTGTAATCCCAGCTACTCGGGAGGCTGAGGCAGGAGAATCACTTGAACCTGGGAGGCAGAGGTTGCAGTGAGCCGAGATCACACCATTGCACTCCAGTCTGGGCGACAAGAACAAAACAAAAAAAAAAAAAAAAAAAAAAAAAGAAGGGGAAGTAGAGATGAGTTTTGACCTGTACAAGGTTGGTCATCTACCGCAAGTGCCCACTGGATGGGAAGAGGCAAGCTCTGTTTTCACCAAGAAAATCAGATTATACATTTATATTATAGATAAATTGCAAGTAGAAATAATATTGGTCATTGTGGAATGCTTCTTATATGCCAGGGTCTGTGCCAAATATTTGTAAATATTATTTCAGTCCTAAGCTACAAGATTAATATCACTATTATCCTCCTTTCACACACGTGGAAACTAAGAAACAAAACTCTTGTATATTTTGCCGAAGGGTACAAAAGCAGTTTGGTATCCAAATCTGCACTCTCAACCATAGACTGTATGGTGGCAGGTTACTAAACAGTGAGGTGTGGTGGGGAAAGAGTCCACCATCATTATTCACAATAGGGATTTTGAGAGAGAGAGAGAGAGAGAAAGAGAGAGAGAGAGAGAGAGACTTTAAGTATCATTGGAACTGTTTCTATTTATCTATCTATTTGCATGAGCATGGGAAACAAAATCTCACGAAGAACGCTATTTTATAAAACAGATCAAATCATAGCTCTTCTGGCTGAAGACAGGCAGAGGCTCTGGAACCCCGCCCACTCCCACAGCACCCCCCGCCACAGCCCACTCCCATGCTGTGCTCACTCCTAGGAAGTCGTTCCACCTCTATGGTCTCTGGCGGTTCCACCTCTATGGTCTCTGGCCTCAATATTTCCAATTCCAAGTCCATTCCCTGAGGGGCAAACCATGGATGTGTGCTGGAAGGGAACACTCCAGCCTTTGAGAATGCACAACCTTTGAGAGGCAGCAGAATAAGTATGGTGAACTTTATTGAGCACTTAAAATTACAGTTACTTGAAGGTCACAAGGGAAAGGAATGCTTAGAGCACATCATAATAGGGAATTCAGGTAGAATGTTGAGTCTGAATGCCTTGTGTCTAACCGCATAAAGATCCAATCCAGCTTCGAATTGTGTGTAGGCATGAGTGTATGTAATAAGCATTAATGAATTGGCATTGGTCTGATCTACAGCATTAATGGATTGAGTATGTGTTGGAAGTGTGAGCACAGTAGTAGCCCAAGCGTTAATTCATGGAGGTCCCACATCACTGTGGTAGCCTCGAGAAGCCAATGAAGATCTCAGCGCCTTCAGTGGGTTGTTTGGTGGGTGGGGTTGTTCTATCCTAAACCTCCATTCACAGCACTCTCACATGGGGGAACTCAAGTGCATCTGTCCAGGGACCAAAGTGGCAAGTGATCTGCTGCTCTCTCTGTACCATCCAGAAGGCCTGTATCTGCCCCTCTGGGTCACCGAGCTGGCTGGTTCTCTCAAAGTCAGCCGCCAGGAGAGAACAGCACAGCCAGACCCTTCTACCAGGGCACTGAACCTCTGGAGCGCCAGGAACTCAGGAGGCCCTGTCAGTCCCTTTTATGTTGTCCATTAAATCAATGACTGGTTTCTATCCACGGCGGGCGGGGGGGGGGGGGGGGGGAGGTGGGAGGGGCAGTTCTCACCTTAAGAAACAAACAAACAAACAAAAAACCACTTTAACCTTTAAATCACCTTCGATATTCTGGCAGATTTTCTTCCAGTCTTTTTTCCTTCGAATTTTTAAAATACAAACTGAATTTACAATGTATATTCAGTTTGTCGAAGATTTTTTTCTTCTAAAAGAATGGAATTGTAAGCATTTTCCAATGTATTAATTTTTTTTTTTAAGCAACAAGTAATCATGAGTGACTTAAGTAAATTTGCCTGTGCCTTGATGTCCTCATGTTTAGAATAAAGCAGTGGCTCTCTAATTTTTGCATGCATCAGAGTCACCCAGAGCGTTTGTTAAAAGGCACAGATTGCTGGGCCCCACCCCAAAATCTCTGAGTTAATAGGTCGGGAGTGGGGCCTGAAGATTTGCATTTCCAGCTTCTCAGGAGATGCTGATGCTGCTGGTCAGAAGACCATACTTGGAAAACCAGTGCAATGAAGAGACCGAGTTGTGGGATGTCCAAGCTTACCAATGGTCTCAAAATCTAAGTTTTTGAATATTTTTAAAAATTATTTTAAAAAAACAATTATTGGCCAGGCGTAGTGCCTCACACCTATAATACCAGCTCTTTGGGAGGCCAAGGTGGGTAGATCACCTGAAGTCAAGTGTTGGAGACCAGCCTGGTCAACATGGCGAAACCCAGTTCTCTACTAAAAATACAAAAATTAGTTTGGCCTGGTAGCGGGTGCCTGTAGTCCCAGCTGCTTGAAAGCCTAAGGCAGGAGAATTGCTTGAACCCAGGAGGTGGAGGTTGCAGTGAGACAAGATCGCACCACTGCCTCCAGCCTGGGCAACAGAGCAAGTCTCAAAAAAAAAAAAAAAAAAAAAAAAAAAAAAAAAAAAACAATTCTTTAGCAACACCCAATAATTTTTTTTTTAATACAAAAGGAACATCACCTACCACTTACAAGTAATCGTTTCCACTTGTAAGTCATATGAGTTCCATACTTATATCTCTTTGAAGATACCTGGATTTTTAAAAGGATATCTTTAAAAGACAGGCAGATTTACATCTAATACTTAATTGTTTTCTTCTTTTCCTTTACATAGTTCCATATGTTTTGAAGAGCTGTGCAGAATTTATAGAGACTCACGGCATCGTGGATGGAATCTATCGGCTTTCAGGCGTCACCTCAAACATACAACGGCTAAGGTAAGCTAAAAGAATAGCCCTAAAAGAATTCTCCCATGATTCTTCCTGTGTCCATGCCTCTGTCCGCTGATGTCCAGAGTATTAAAAACCCAAAGGAACTGAGGGAAGTGTGGCAGCACTGAAGATCAGATGCAGTGGTTTTCAGATGCCTGACTCTTCTTAATCTAATCAGGAAACCCTCCAGCCTGATATAATTCTTTCCAACAGAAGCTCCTAAGGCTTTCAGTCTGTTTCTTTGTCTTGCACTAGATATATTCTTCTTAGGTGAATTTGATTTAACTCAAATGATTTAAATTACAAGTTAAGGAAAACGTGATTTATTATCATTTGCTGGCCAGCCCAAAGCTCAGCTAGAGCTGGTTCCTGTTACTTAGTGTTCAGAACCCCGAGATCCATGTCAGTTTTTCTGCTGGCGCACCCTCAAATTTGACGTTTTGTCTGGTTGAGAAATCAGAAGCCTGTATGATTGTGCGTGTCTCTAACTGATGCTAGGATTTTAAGAATTACTGATGAGTGAAAAAAAAATAAAAATAAATTTAAAAAATTACTGATGGGTGAACTATTTCCAATTTTATGTATTTATCCTAAATATTTGGACGAAATTTATATCACATTAAATAAAGAGGGCAAAACATTTTATACAAAACACAGGTATGTGTGTGTTTTATATTTATACAGAGAGTATATAGAAGATAGAGTATATATATATATGGTTGTATATGACTTAAACAATAGATCTACATATTTTGCATATTGTTCCTTAACACCAAAAGGAACATAATTTAATGTTATTTTAATTATAACATTTTATTATTACCTATATTTATTATATGTTCTTTAGTTATAAATGTAGACTTTTAAAACAAAAAAATTATTTTCACAAGGTTAATATAATAAGCCATAGATTTTAATGAATCTGTGTATTTACATAATTTCACTAATTTACTAGTACTCCATTCAATGGCAAATACTTCTTAATGGTTTGAAATATACTGCACAGTAGGTTGCATCCTGGAAGGACACTTGGGTAGTAATGAATTATTTTTTATTTCAGCACTGACCTTATCCTTGACAAGAGAAATCTTTGGCTAAATAAATGCATAAGCTCTAGATTGCTCTTGTTCTGCTCTCTTAAAAACATTCTCTTTTTAAAAGAGCTATGCCAAGAGAACATGGCATGGCATAGTTCTGTTTTAAAACATAGCATGGGCTGGGCGCAGTGGCTCACGCCTGTAATCCCAGCACTTTGGGAGGCCAAGGTGGGTGGATCACTTGAGGTCAGGAGTTCGAGACTAGCCTGGCCAACATGGTGAAACCCCATCTCTTCTAAAAATACAAAAATTAGCCGACCGTGGTGGCGAGCACCTGTAATCCCAGCTACTCGGGAGGCTGAGTCAGTATCGCTTGAACCTGGGAGGGGGAGTTTGCAGAGAGCTGAGATTGTGCCAGCCTTAACAACAACAGTGAAACTCCATCTAAAAAAAAAAATAGCATTTCATAGATCTCTTTTCAAAGCCCCACTCAGTTTCTTTCAGGTTCTGAAAGCATCAGGGATTTCCCTACCCTTCATTAAGGGGGTAGGCCCAGAGAATAGGATAATGGGCAGTGAGCTGTTTCAAAAATGCTGGTTCTGAGAGTACTGTTGACTTTGTCACATTAGATGACTAAGTGAATAGTCTCAAAAAGCTTAACTTCTCTTCTATATTGAAGCTCAAATTTGTCATTTTTAAAACAGATTTTAATTTATAAGTATTAATATATATATTATTTGAGGCAGTATATTCATGTGACCTTTTTAGGAAATGTTTTCTAAATGTTTTTCAGGCCTGGAATTGGATGATGTTCCAAGACATCTGTCCTGTAGGAGTCACCATCAGGCAGTCTAGAAGGTTCTATTGAGCACCAAAAAGATAGTCGATTAGGCTGGGCATGGTGGCTCACACCTGTAATCCCAGCACTTTGGGAGGCCGAGGCGGTCGGATCGTGAGGTCAGGAGATCGAGACCATCCTGGCTAACATGGTGAAACCCCATCTCTACTAAAAATGCAAAAGATTACCCAGGTGTGGTGGCGGGCGCCTGTAGTCCCAGCTACTCAGAGTCTGAGGCAGGAGAATCACTTGAACCCGGGAGGCGGAGGCTGCAGTGAGCCAAGATTGTGCCAGTACACTCCAGCCTGGGTGACAGAGCGAGACTCCATCTCAAAAAAAAAAAAAAAAGTTGATTAAAGTTCTCAAACTTTGGGTTTGAGTCTCCAGATAAAACAAGTTTGTTGACATGGATATATGGAGATGAGTGACAACAACCTGACCTACCCTAGTTTCGGTCTCTCCTGTAAGAAAGGGAAATTCATTTTGAACAATATTTTGGAAAAACTGAAATCTCAATAGGACTTTTTGGCAAATTGTGTTGCTATTTCCCCAATGTTCATAACCAAGACTGCAAACATGATGCCATGGGAAATCCATTTGTAAATAAGCATTATGTCTTTCTCATCACAGCAGATTTTGCAAGGAAGATCCAAACCTGAAATGGAAGTCTTCCTGTGACTTCCTCGGGCCTGGAGTAGAAGATCTTTTTGAACTAAGGTCAAAAATATAGTCAGATCAGCAGTTTAGGGTCTTTTTACCCCTAAGCAGCCAAGCAGCTGCTGACATGGAACACACACTCCCTGGGATTGTTATGTCTCCGTCTGTGTTGTTTCAGGCAAGAGTTTGGCTCAGATCAATGTCCAGATCTGACAAGGGAAGTGTACCTCCAGGACATCCACTGTGTGGGCTCGCTCTGCAAGCTCTACTTTAGGGAGCTGCCCAACCCCCTCCTGACTTATGAGCTCTATGAGAAATTCACGGTGAGTGTTTGGATTTCCATTATGGTTACTGGGTGGGATGCATGGATGGGCCAAGAAGAGTTTCAGCACTAAAATAACAATAATAACACTCACCAGATGGTTGACATTATCTTAGCATGGTGAGGGAAGTAGGATAATATGGTAAGGAAAATAGGGTAGTGGAACTGTTTGCTAAATTTTTCTTTCTTGAATTTTCAGAATCATGTTGTTTGTTTTAAGAGCTGGGTTGAATTATCTCCATGTTTATTCAACTGAATGTGCCTTATTGTATAGGGAGGAAACTGAGAACCCCAGAAGTAAAGTGGCTGGCCCAAGGTCACACAGCAGAGGCAGGACAGGAACCTGAGACTTCTCATGCTACACCCTTTGCTAGCTTTTTTATCAGACGATTCCCTCTGTGTTTCTTTTGTGGGCTGGGGAAAGAGGTGGGTGGGTAGAGAAGGGAGAGGGAACAAACAAATGTCAAGAGGGGTCAGAAAGCTGGGAAGCAAAAAGAATATGAGAAAAACAGCCAAGAGGGAGAGCAGGATAGGTCGGTGAGTTGGTCTGGTGGAGAGGATGGATGGGCATTAGCAAAACACCTAAGTAGCAGCTGTATGGTCACCAAATAGGGCACAGTAGAAAGAAGAATAAATGCTTACAGGATGACTGTAGAGATAGCGTGAAAAACATGACTTGAACATTTGGCAGCATGAGAGAAGGTGTAGAGTAGGCAGAGGGCTGGGTTTAACCAAGGTTGGGGTTCAGCTGGCAAAGAGGGATGAGGGAGATGAGAGCGTGTGCTGGGGACACTGAAATAATTGACCATGGAATTTAGTGTAGATGCGAAAGGAAGTGAGGGCACAAGGTAGATGAGTAACAGTATAAAAGGAGATCATCCCAGTGAAGTCAGTGGAGTGTTGAAGTATGGTAGTTAGAGAGGGATGTTTGAAAGTGAGATTATGGCGAGGTTACGGTTTTGGGTAAGGACCAGATCTAGTCATTAACAGTGGGAGGGAACCTTTCTTATGGCTTCTGTAATAAATTTGTTTTGAGTATATGAAAGGTTCTTCAATTTGAAATGATACAGGAATAAATGAATGGTATTTCTTAAAAATGGGCTTGAGCTGTAAAAATATGTTTAGGAGTTTTCAGTGGTACAGGGAAATATTCAAATGATAATTGAAGAAAAACTAAATGCACAACTGTATATTAAGAAAGGATTAAAAGGAAAGATGTTCAAAAGACTAAAAGACTAACAGCTATTCATTTCAATTTCAGACAGTTTTTTCCTGTTTCTTTAACTTTCATAATTTTGCCCACTATTAGTTTTTAGCGAACAACAACAACAACAACAAAAATCTTCTGGTTATATATACTTAAAGAATTTTAAAAAGGGAAAACAAAATCAAGAAATAGGGGGAGAAATGAAGATTTTTTTAAAAAAAGAAAAAAAATAGTCCAAAGCACATAAAAAAATGGGGATAAATGTTGACCTCTAGAGAAGTCAACATGTGCCAGCTGGCATAGTTGTCACTGGTTAGGGGACCCCTCTCCTTTAGATCTAAGGCAGAAGGTAAAGAAGCCTTTTCTCTGCATGGCTAAGTTGTAAATAATGGTATCCCCTACCCATGGAACCACAGAAGAGTCTTTCCTAGGAACCAAGAAGGAAGGTGTTGTGAGCTTCATATGGGTCTGTCAGATTATAATCACTTTCACCATATGTAAGTATTTGGTCATTTTAAGAGTAATCCTATTTAATAATAGACACTATGAAAAATGAAGGAAAGTAAAAAGGAACCATTGGTCTGTCTTCTTAAAGACCAAAGACAACTACAGTTAACATGTTGTCAATATTTCCTTCCATCTTTATTCTTTCCATAGTGTTTTTGCTGTGGTTTGTGTTTTGTTTTCCAAAATCAAAATAAAATTTTATTGCAAAAGTTAAAGTAATACAGAAACGTATAAAGGAGAAAGCATAAATCTCAAGTCACCTGAAATTCCATACCCCAGGCATATTTGCTATTAACAGATGGAACTATTAACTATATCTGTAGTAATAAATGTTAACAGATCTCACCACACACACACACATACACAAACACACACACACACACACACACACTCTCACTTGTCAGTACTACATATTGCTGTTTGGGGATGCTTTTAATTCAACAGTGTGATCATCTTTGTGTGTTAAGAAATACAGGAAGACACTGTGTTTACAGCATTCTCCCATGTGTGCCATGATTTCTGAAACCAGGCTCTCACTGATGGACATTTAGCTTTTTCATTTCTCAAGACGTTCCTTTTATAAACATTATAATACACATTTTTTCACCTATATTTTTACACGATATTTTGTTTGTTCATATCCTTAGAGAAAAATGATTGAAGTAGATTTGCTGAGTAAAAAGTTCTTGTTTAAAATTTTGTCACATATTGCCAGTCTGGCCTCCAGAAAGACAAGGAATACTCTTTTCCCTGCAGACTTTCCAACCCTGGGTATTTCCAATTGGTTAAATTATTTGTAGACCTGAATTAACTAAAAATAATACCTTATTGTTGCTTAATTTGTGTGTTTAAGACTTTATTGTTTTCAATAGAGTCGTAATCCTCTTATCAGTATGATATTACCATCTTTGAATATGACAGAATGGAATATCATTATGTTAATGAACTGAATCAGTCTAATTTCTTTTAACTATTATCTCATTCCATTATAGTTGGGGGTAGATAGGAATTCTTTGTCTGGAAACTTTAGAAATACCATTTCTCCTTAGCTCTTGTCTACAGGCTCAGAATGAAACCCGTATTTATCTCTCCCCTCTCCTGTTCCCTGATATTGCTAATCATTCTGTTTTCTCACAGCAACTGAAAAATACCAAGGCAGCTTGTCAACCTGCCATCAGATTTGAAGGAAATCTGACATTGTATTTAAACAGTTTATTTGACACTAAACAGGGATGTTTTGTTATGACAACTAACTCTATATACATAGGACCTAGTGAAATTAACTATGTTGGAGAATGTATCATTTAATAGATTTCTTTGATCACAGATAATACAAGCAAACCCTCAGAGGTTTGGAAATAGCTCTGTTACATTGTCACACATTCTCCCTATAGTTTACCAAACCTACTTGCACAGCTAAAGTAGAACAATACCTTTTTTTAACTTTTATTTTAGGTTCAGGGTACATGTTCAGGTTTGTTATATAGGTAAACTTGTGTCACGGGGGTTTGCTGTACAGATTATTTTGTCACCCAGGTACTAAGCCTACTCCCAGTCAAGTAGTCCCCAGTATCTGTTGTTCCTCTCTTTGTGTCCATGTGTTCTCATCATTTAGCTCCCACTTATAAGTGAGAACATGCAGTATTTGGTTTTCTGTTCCTGCATTAGTTTGCTAAGGATGATGGCCCCTGGCTTCATCCATGTTCCTGCGAAGGACATGATCTGATTCGTTTTTATGGCTGCATAGTATTCCATGGTGTATATGTACCATATTTTCTTTATCCAATCTGCCATTGTTGGGCATTTAGGTCGATTCCATGTCTTTGCTATTGCGAATAGCACTGCAGTGAACATATGTGTGCATGTGTCTTTTGGTAGAACAATTTATGTTCCTTTGGATAGATACCCAGTAGTGGGACTGCTGGGTCGAATAATAGTTCTGTTTTTAGCTCTTTGAGGAATCGCCACACTGCTTTCCACAATGGAAATTTTTTTACACTCCCAACAGTGTGTAAGTGTTCTCATTTCTCTGCAACCTCACCAGCATCTGTTATTTCTGACTTTTTTTTTTTTTTTTTTTTTTTTTTTGAGACAGAGTCTCTCTCTCATTGCCCAGGCTGGAGTGCAGTGGTGTGATCTCAGCTCACTGCCACCTCTGCCTCCCGGGTTCAAGCTATTCTCCTGCCTCAGCCTCCTGAGTAGCTGGGATTACAGGCACTCACCACCACGCCCGGCTAATTTTTGTACTTTTAGTAGAGACAGGGTTTCGCCATGTTGGCCAGGCTGGTCTTGAACTTCTGACCTCAGGTGATCCACCCGCCTTGACCTCCCAAAGTGCTGGGATTACAGGCATGAGCCACCGCGCCCAGCCTATTTTTGACTTTTAGTAATAGCCATAGAAGAATATCTTAATGGAATGATGAATTAGAAAAAATATTAACAGACTAATAATACTAATAATGATAATAGTCATCATTAATTGAGTGCTTACTATATGATAAACTCATGATAAATATTATTTCATTTAATTCTCAGAATAACCCTGTGAGGTAGGTTTTATTGTCTCCGTTATACAGATCATTAAAATGTGGCTCAGAGTGACTCTTGCCTGGGGTGGTACAGCTAGTAGGTGGAGGTAAAGATTTAGTTCTGTCTCATAACTCCCACACTACTTAAAAGTAGAGTTAACGACACTTAATTAAAGCTCAGGTATTAAATAACTTAATATGAAATAAAATAATGAAGGAACAATGCCATAAACAGTGCTACGAAATTTGGCTATCTATTGCAAAAGGAGGAAATCAAGTTTCGTCTTTACCATTTAGCAGATTTCAGGGTGGAGAAGGGCTTCCTAACTATAAAAGCAAAGGAAAAAAGTCACACACACAAAAAAACCTTAAAAACTGAACTACGCGTAGACTATTTTTCTTTATAAAAATATATTAACAAAATTAAAAGGCAAATGACTAAATACAGGAACTATTTACATAAAGGTGACGGGGATTAATGTTCTTTAATTATAAGGAACCTATCAGTAAAAAGAAGTAAAACACATAATACCTCACTAGACAAGTAAACAAAGGACCTCGACAGATAATTTATAAAAAAAGAAATTGAATTATTTAAAAAGTATTAATATATTATAATAATACAGTTGCACATTAAAAAATAATTTTTAATGTTACTATTTCACACTAGCAAGCCTATGATGAGACTAGTTTTTCTTTTTCTTTTTTTTTTTGAGATGGAGTCTCGCTCTGTGCCCAGGCTGGAGTGCAGTGGCACGA